GCTTCCAGGTATCTGTTGAGAGCCATTAATTGTCTTGTCTCTTCTTTCTTCGTAGAACAGCTGTACACGTTTCCTTCAACATCACCTTCAAAGAGTTTCAATGCTCTTCCACGCAGGTTTTCTTGTTGATAACACGTAGCGTTTCCGACTTTGCTCTGATCTGATCTGTAGTGAAGGTTTCCCTTGTAGTTTTGTCCTTCAGTTTCTCAATGTTTGACTTGAGTCGTCGTCTGTCTTTACTTGTTTTGAAGGCTTTCGACTTGACCTTGAAGGTTTCTTCCACTAGGTAATGGTCTGAGCCCATATCTACTCTTCTCGATTTTGAGTCCTGCAGGCTGCGTCTCCACCTCCTTGAACAGCATTGGGATGAAGTCTACCTGATTTTTGATGTGTCTTTTCGGCGAAATTCGTATTGCTTTGAGTATATCCTTGTGTTTGTACACGCCTCCTCCGATCACCAAATCATTGAAGTGCAGAAGTCTGCTAAGAGTTCTCCATTGTCGTTTATTTCTCCGGGAGCCTCTCGACGCATGACGAGTTTTCTTTCCGTATTATCTGCTCTCAGTTTGGCTTGCATTCATATCGCCCATGAAAATTTTGATGTCCCCATTAGGGATGTTTTCTATTACTGTTTGTAATTGTTTGTAAAAACTTCTCTTTTCTTGTTCCACGTTGTTTGTAGATGCGTTGCATTGAATAATTGTGATCCTCCTTCCTTTTGAGTTGAATTTTTCTTTTATGATTCTGGATGAAGTTGGTTCTCACTACATTAGGACTCTGGCTGTCACTGTTGACATCATTATATTCACTCACTGCCTCTGTGCGCTCACGGTTGTCGTCTGGGTGACTAGACCGGAGTAGATTACTGACTGTCGGGTTGATGATTTCGATAGTCCAAATTCATCCCATCCGCTCTCACAGATTCCGAGCTCTTCTACACCATATCTTATTTCTTTGGCTACCTGGACAGCCTTCCTAGTCTCGTACATTGTACGTACATTCCACGTCCCCATTATTATTCTCGCTTTCATCGAGAGAAGATACATTGGCTGGTTGACCGGCTTCCCGAAGGCTTTCACCAGCCCACTGTGTCATTTCGCCCTTCCGACTTCAGAGGAGAATAAGTTTGGTTTTCATATGTTTTTTATTTTTAATATTCTTCTTGTGCGTTGAAGTTTCCATAGCCGTTTGATTGGTTTATTGGTGTAGGGTCGCTAGCCCCATGCCCAACCTCCCCTCTTTACCCGGGTTTGGGACCGCCTAGAAAACTAGCGGGCTAGTCAACTAGGCGAGGTTCTGAAATATCAGTTTTCCCAGGCTGAAGTAAGCGGAGCCGGGACTGTAAGCTCAAAGCATTCTGGCTGTCAGGTATCACTATCTTTCTTTATCGTTAAATGTCCGTTTAGTTGGATAATGCATAGAGGAATATTTACTGTAATCCGATAGAGCAGCAATTCTTATTTCAAGCCCAGTCCTACAGCATAAAATCTTACAGAACTAAACCTAGTACTTTCTCTGATATTCCTGAGTTAGTGTTTTGCCGATTATTACACTTAGGACTTCCACATGATTCTCAAAAAATCACTTACATCCAGAACCCGAAATACAAGTTTCCGAAAGGTAGAGCCATTACCCGATGTGACATAGGGTTCGAACAGTGAATGCTACAGTGAAAAGTTGCGGGTGGGGTTTGTAAATACCACGAATGGTATTTCTCTTGCTTGAGTTGTTACTGAGTTAAGAAAACTTGAAAAAACTACAAAGGATGGTAATAACAACGAAAGGCAGGTGAGTAAAGACTGAAGAGAACAGACGATAAACAGATTTCTGTGTAATTCATACAGTTGTTTCCCGTGATGAAGTTGAACAACGAGTTGAGCAGGATAAAATGACGTTACCATAATTCGTTGGTACTTGTTGACTGTTTACAATCTAATAGAGTTACAGTGTCAATGTATAAAATTTTCATATAATAATTAGACAGTCAGTTAGTTTTTGTGTTCTACTAGAAGTTTGTGGTCGTTACTACCTCCAGGCTTCATACATCATGGAGTTGTTTTTTTCCTTTGACAACTTTAAAGGAAACAAGCGTTAGTTTTGAGTGGTCACAGAGCCCAGAGCTCAACTTGTAAGTCGTATGTGTTATTCTTTTTCACTACACGCCTATGGTGTGGTCGTCCGAAAGACTGTTATTTGACTTCTGTTCATTGTCTGGGTCTCCAATTTAAGTTTTTTAAAAGTTAATCGTAGAAATACTTTTGGAGCTGAAAGTATTTTCTTAAGCTTCAAGTGATTCCACTGACAATAACTGTAGAACTTTTTCACGCTGAATGGGAAACTGTGTCAAAACAGTGTATAGTCTCATTTCTACTACTGTTAGGTCTGCCTCACCTTGAGTGGAGGTGTGATGCGTTGACCTAAGCACTCTACTTTCAGTCAGTGGGTCCTGTGCTCGAATCCCGCTCCATTTACCTCAGCCTGGGCACTTAGATAGCGGCTCTTGGCCCAGTACTGGATAATCGAGTTATACCAACCAATCTATTTCACCTTGATGCCTTATACTCCCATCTGTTAACTACAAATCAGTGTCCTTTGTATCTGTTCTGGTGCATACATTTACCCATTCTGTTCAGAGGGCAATTAAAAATTAATCAGGCTTCTTGGAGATTCTGCTTGGGCAGTGGTTAGTAACAGTTTCATCTGTGTGTGTATCATTGTTTCAGTTCAAACTTTCATCGAGTCAACAACTTCCTCTGTTATCAAATTTTATAGCTGTAAGAAAAAAGTGGTTGTCTAAACAATTAATTAGAAGTATGTGAAAAAAGTAAGTCACTGTTCCTACATGACAAATTTACCTCGAAAGATTTACAGAAGTCAAGCCACATATATTTTGCTTACGAGTATTGATTTCCGAGAAGTATAGTATTCTTCATATCGTTCATCAGGATTGTACGGGTACATACGAATTTAGCTTCTGGATTTCAATATTTCTAGCCATGCCTGGAGTGAAGGACCAGAGCAACTAGGTAAAAGCACTAACTTTAAATATAAAGTTTTTCAGCTGATGAATCACGGATTCGCATACGGCTTTACCTACTTCGATCTGGGAAACTGCGTACTATCATCAACCCTCACACGATAATTGTGGCTCTAAGCCTAGTACATGAGAAATCTGTTCCGGGTAACTGAGGTCAAACAACTTTCTGTCATCATATGTCATCACAGCTTGAATGATGTCCCTTTCCTCAAAACTCCATTACGGTACGATTAGTTATATTACAATCACAACTGTTTTGTGCAATACCACTTCTAAACTGACTTTTGTAACATGATACAATGCAAAGGAGTAATTACTTTGGTGGATTGATTTTAAATTTATCAATGCGATAGTCATTGTAAACTACCATATCAAAGTATGACGTGTTCCTCAAAGCTAGATGAACTTTCGACACAAAAAATTAGTTACTGAAAGTATTTTTTGTTACTATTTAAATGAAACTCAATAATAATGTAACTGGAATACCTTATCTACCTCTAGTTATTTTTCATGCGGTAAATTTTAGCTTCCACATCATATTTACATTTATACTTTAAATACTTGAATGGCTTCAATAGGGTTTAGAAATGATTATTTCCCTTGTATCTGCTTTTCTATCCTAGTTCATCATATATTTTTGGAATTCCTCAAAGTACAACTTCTCTTTAGTACTTTTATTAGTCCACATTTTGTTTGTCAAATAAACTTTCTATCTATTAATTCTAGTAGAAGAATTTTCAGAACTATCGTTTGTATGAAATCCTGTATATATCACTTGCATGTAATTATCTATAAATTCGTTAATTTTAAGATAATTTGTTGCCTTCAAAGCACACTCGTTGTGATATATATATATATATATATATATATATATATATATATATATATGTCTTGAAATGGTACTTTTTATTAAAATTGTTACGATATCCAAGCAAAAGTGTTACCCAAACTGAATGGAGTTATGGTTCATTGGCCTAGGCACTCGACTTACAGCGAGTAGGTCTCAGGTTTGAGTCCCACTCCATCTACTACAACCGGGGCAGCTGGTTGGTATCACTAACCCACCACATAGTGTTCGTGTAGCCCATTGTCTAGTGCACGAATAATTTGTTTCGCATAATTGGACTCCATCAACATTCTAGCTAATATTATTTGATGCAGAGTTTTCATTTTCATTTTGGAAGTCTTTTTTTCACAGTACAGGTTGAAAGTTTTTCTAGTGTTTATTTTTTTCAAAAGAATGGATACTAAACAAAGAGTACTCTTTTCGATAAATTCATCATCAGGATCTACAGTTATATATACATTATAGTGAATAAATGAGTTAGTGTTATGAACGACATTAATGTTTAAATAACATCAAATCAATAATATTGATAGATTATAGCTGAACCCAAGGGAGCAATAATAATAATAACAGCTGAATCACATCAACATAAAATAAGCTGAATGTCAGAAGAATTAGGAAAGATAATATTACAAATTCATGAGTTTATAGTTTCTACTGAAAGCCAGGGCAATAGTAGGGGCTGGACTTGCTTCTTTCGAACACAGAGCGCTGGTTGTTTCAGGCGAATCGCAATAGCCTCTGCTGTTTGGAGCATGCCCTGGCTTTCGGTAGAAACTAGTAGAAACTCATGAATTCGTAATATTATCTTTCCTAATTTTTCTGACATTCAGCTTATTTTATGTTGATGCGATTCAGCTGTAATCTATCAATATTATTGATTTGATGTTATTTAAACATTAATGTCATTCATAACACTAACTCATTCATTCACTATAATGTATATATAACTGTAGATCCTGATGATGAATTTATCGAAAAGAGTACTCTTTGTTTAGTATCCATTCTTTTGAAAATTTTAATGGGCACTTTTAATCAGTTTATTTTTTTGTCTATATATGTGCAAATATACATGTTGAGAAAAACTGCTTCTAATGTAATCGTTTTCTCTCTTAGAAATTATTATCATCAAGATGCCATTTTGCGCTCAGAAGAAATCTTTGATATAATTCACTGCCTTTCAGGACTAGAGAATGTTCAGTTCAAGTAAGAATATGAAGTTTTCTTTTATAACTTAACATTTACTACTATTACTAATCTTTCTTAAAATTTATAGTTTAGATTTTAAAAGTGAAACTGTGAATTATCCTGATATTCCTCCTATCGACTTTTCACCATTCCTTTCATTAAAACAAAGGTATGTTTTTCTATTTTTTTTCTTACTTATAATAAAAGTGGATTACATTACAAAAATTCTCAACAAGTTGTATTGTGATTACGCATTCAGCCTTTTCTTTATTCTCATCTTAAATATATTTAGTCTAGAAACACAACTTAGTGGAATTTGTGAATGCCGAGATAGTGAGAACACGAATGATCGAAATAAATGTGTATGGCGACGTGGATTTGAGAAGTTAAAACAAAACCACTTATATTACACTGAGCAACAGGTTAGATAAATTAGTTAATTCATTTCTATTATGTAAATTGGAGTGTAAATTAACATTGATGTAAACATTCGGTTCATGGCAAATAAATTGACTGCGGATTGTGTAAATCGAGCTATAGGACCTAGTGTGTTAACTACACTACTATTTGATGCCTGTTGTGTGTTTAAATTGTTCCAACTTTTGATCTGTTCACAGAATGAATCAGATATTTCCCTACCCATAAGTACTAGCTATTTCTAGATCAAATGACTGATGTGTAAATGAGAATAGATTGTACAAGTAAATTTCAGTTCAACTGTTTTATAATTTTTCTCATCTATTCAATATTGGTTCATAAATCTGCAGCGGTCGATTATCAGTGTGTTTATAAGATGGTAGTGGAATGCTAAAAAATTGTGTAAATAACTAATAGTTTTATGCAGTATCTTGAGGATAAAATGTACTTTGATGGTGTAACAATATGCGTTATACAATACATTGCAATAAGAGTATTATCATTTCATACGTAGCATACCAAGAGCCATTCAGGTGTAAATATTGCAGTTACGTTCTTACGTTTTAAATCACTTAATGCAGATGTCATCTAGAGTTGCTTGTATGATTTTTGATGTGTTTTTTAATGTCATTGTATTTTCCTCAGTTACGCTCATTAGTAAAGCTACCATAGCTGACTATCAGGTTTAGGGATGACGTCAGAGATAAAAGATACTCGTTTCAAATTAAGTAAACACATCATTGGAACTTTTACACCTTGATATAGATATTATGTTTTCATAGAGTGGGTCGTGCTTTTATGCAACCGTCGATTTCTGCCTTCTACATATTTTCTAGGCGGTAGGTTCTTGGTTGGTTCTTTGCTAGAGTCCCTTGTTGCTTATCGTTTCTGGCTGGCTGTTTGATCTTCAGTATTGAGGTAGCAAAGGCAGGTGTTAATGAATTTCTGTAGCCTTCTAGAAGTACTTTTGGTGGCGCACATCTCTAAATCATATAGAAGAACTGATTTGACATTAGTGTTGAATATCCGGATCTTGTCCCGCATTCTAAGTGCAGTAGATTTCCAGATTGATGAAGTTTCATTTTGCTTTCAAAACCCTGCCTTTGATATCCTCATCCATGCTGCTTGCATTTGAAACGGTGTCCTGCCTGCCTAAGTGAATTAGTTGAATTCCTTTATATATCTCCCATTGATAGTGATTGTTGCTTCTTACTATTCGCAAGTAACCACTATATTATACTGTTGTGACTTGTTACCTTTAAGCTTAACAGATAGATTCTGTTCTGGTAATTATCAACTTTTAATGAAACGAAGATCCCTACCTTTCAACGAATGAGAATGTAGTTAGATTTACAATCCATAAAGCTGTTTATATCTTTTGAATTTCTTCCCAAAGAAAAACTGATTCATTTTCCCCGTGTGATTAGTTTCAGGTCAAAAAATGTATATAATGTAATGATAATTCTGAAAGCATCAAATGCCTGTTTAAGTGAAGTGTACGTGTTACACATGTGTTCAGTAATCACATACTTTATCTTTAGATATGGAGATAACATCACTCTGTATTGTTTTTATCATTTTTGATAGAAGTGAGGCTAAGTAAAATTCCATAATCCAGGAGATGGCATTGTTCAAGGTGGAATCTTTCATCGCCTTTTACGACTGTATCTTTCCTTATGAGTTTCTTTGGTACAGATTTTTCCTGCCTATCTGCTTAATTTCAATGTAGATTTCGTCATGAACCAGCATCAAAGAGAGAAAGAGAGAGATAACTGAAAACCAGGGAGCACTGGATAACTTTTTAGTCTTAGTTTAGGAATCTTTAGCAGTGAATACCTACAACCCCACCAGAAATTGAACCTGGGGACTTTCAGGCTGAGCCACAAAGCTCATTAACCATTCAGCGACTTGGGCTAGAATTCAATGACTCCCAAATTCTAAATTTTGTCAATTCGCTTTTCCTTGTTTTCCACTGAAGAATATAAAATCAGAAATAACTACCCGTAAAATGTCCTGCGTGTTTTTTCAAAAATTTCATATTGTCTACTCGTTTCGTTACTTTTGTCACTTCTCATGTTCCAACATAACTATCGTCAGTTATTTGACTTTTCAGCGGTTACACACACACACACTTTGAGAATATGAGTAGTATGGAGGTAGTCGCGCTAATGCTTTTTGTTAGTGACTTGTTTGCTACTATAATTAAGTAGCTGTGAAAAAAATATCTATAGAAAACTATACGATTTGTGATTGCTCATTCACTTCATTCATTCCTCTTTATCTGTTTATTTGCATTTCACTTAGTCACATGCATCTTGATTCATTGCTATATTTACCATTAATTGGAACAACAATCTATTATTACTACTAATATTTTAATATTTTTCTTTTGTATTGTAATATTTTGTTTTTCTCTCTGTTCTAAAATATTCATTAACAATTTTAATGCTGACGTGAATGGTTGAGTCAGTTGTTTGTTTTAAATAAATTTAATTTACGTTTAATTTGCTTCGGTCTGATTTTCTACACATTAGCATTATCATGAAGAATTAATTCAACGGCAGTTTATTCAATTGGATCAGCAAAGAGAACAGTTGAAACAGTATAAAGAAACAACTACCAATCTACAAAGTTATATTTTACAATTACAAGTAGAGCTGTAAGTTTAAAAGAAGAATTTAACTTAATCCGTGTTGATGACGATAAGTGGATTTATTCGTGTTGCAGATTAACTCTATGGTAGTTTCATAACATAATATTAAAATCTCTCACACATAAAGAACATAAATAACTATGTTACTTATTAAATGTCATTCAAAATTATTGCAGACACCGGAATTTCAGAAACTACTCCACAATAACTTATGTATTTCGATTACAGGATTTACAGGAATTTAGATTAATTTAATTCCACTTGTTAGATTTCGTCACAAACCAACATCAGTTGGAGAGATTATTGAAAACCAAAGAGTATTGTACAGCTCTTTCGTCCTATTTTGGGACTCTAAATCCCCACAAATCCCATTTCACTTCCCATCTCACTGATGGCTACTAGATGAATGCCCTAAATCTGTAGAAGGACTGATATCAGTTCTCTAACTGATATCTGTCCGTGGTCAATCTCCTAAAAACAAATCTAATCCTTACAAACCAACTCTTGAAAGGTTATTAATTCACTGGCTGATTATTACTTTTATTGCTCATAATATTCGTGCCTGTAAAGTTGTCTAGAACTTTGTATTGTTTTCAGTTTAGACCCTTAATTCACGCCATAATTCTGTAATCTTGTACCAGATAGGTCTAGGTAAATGTTTGGGAATTTCAGCAGTTTCTTATACTCTCAAATGTTAATCGGCGTTGGTTGCTAAACGTTACCAGAAACACATCTTATTTAGTCCTCCGTTTTCATGAGATCATGCGGCTGATCATGAGATGGTAAGTCATGAAAAGGATATCAGTGATAAGTATTTCAGCGGGACAAATATCACTTATGACATAGCCTGAAGAATGATCCTCAGAATTACACTTTAATTATTATGGAGTCACATGAGCCACGACCGTCATTCTTTCGTGTAACACAAAATGGCACTAAAACTAAATAAATTAAGTGAAAAGAAATGGTGTTATGCGATTCAGAAATACAACGGCCAGTAAATAATTTCCATGGATTTAATTAGTCTACCACTAGTTAGTGGTCAGGAGTTTATGAGACATCAAGCACCTTAGTGCTTTATATCTTGAAGCCAAAGTTCGAAGTTGGATTGCTTAGCATAACTTAAAGGGTCCGGCCTTGTTTTGGCTTCAGTTATTCTCACACAAGTAATTATTGGGTTGAGTACTCGTCAACGAGTCTTATTTGGGACCATGAGAAAGTTCACACTTTCTTTGAGATTTCAACTCACTTTGTTGTGTTAACTAGGACTTCCTATTCATAGATTCCCAACGTTTGATGGTAAATTATTTATCATCATAATACGCAGCATTGTCGTATTACTTAGTTTATCGACCAGATCGCACACATGATCGATAGAGGTTTATAAACACGCTTTTTAATCCCTCTGCATTCCAAGTAATGCGTAGGGCTTCAAGCTATAAGCCTTAAAGTTTCAGTAGCAACGGTGTTGGCTTTTACGGTATGGAGTTACTAGCTTCACGCGTAACCTTCCCTCTTTAGCGAGTTTAACACCCGCTAGGTACGTCGACTAGAAATCAAACTCGGATCACCTGTGTTTTTGTCGAGCATTCTACCACTGAATCATAGACTCGCTGTAAACACTTAGGATTATGTACATATATAGTCAGGCGATTACTTACAAGGGTTGGATGATTTCATCATGAGCTGACATCAGCTAGACAACCATTGGAAAACCTGGGAGTACTGGATAGATGTTTCGTCAGCCTAGTTCGGGACTCTCCATCAGTACGCAGTAACTCATCGAAGAGGATATTGCGAAGTGGTCGCACTATGTCGTGAATTAGCAGAATTGAATCGGGTCTCAGTGGCTTAATGGTCTACGATCTCACCTTGTAACCAGAAGGTTCTAGGTTCGAACCCCGGTGGGTGCGTGCTGATGAAGAGTTCCAAACTAGGACGAAACAGCTGTCCAGTACACCCTGTTGGTTTTCCAATAGTCCTCTAACTGATGTCAACTCATGATGAAATCTTCCAACCAATCAAACAAAATCACTACAAAACCAATACTTGAAAAAAAAAACTTCTAAAGGTTATAGAATGTCGTGGCATAAAAGAATAGTGTTGTTGGGCATGATTGAGCGTTGGTGGTTCAAAGGGAGAGTGTTCTCTTACGTGATCTGGGCTTAATTACCAGACGACGCGCTCTTAGATTTTGCTTAGTTTGCTGACCAGCAGTGTAACCCTAGGAAAGAGGGAACGTTGAGTTTGAGACTACCAACATCACCACCGTTACTGAAACTTGGAAAACTTGAAGCCCTACGCTGCACTCGAAAAGAAAGAAATAAAAAAGATTTATGAATGGATTCATGCTGGTGCCAGTGATTCTGAGTCATATCACCAAAACTATTTTACCATAGATCCCTATAGTCATGTGGATTCATTCAGGCAAACTGATTTACCATATAAAAGTTATGTAAACAGTGAAAACTGTGAGCATGTGTTTAATGTTTCCATTAGAATATGTAATTTCGCGTAAACAAATAGACATAGTTTACGTTTAAGTTCATTTTGTAGTTATTGCAGTTTCTGTAGATTCCTACTTGTCATCATACATTTTTTATGTAAAGTCAATTTCATTTTAATGGTGAACACATCTGACGTGTGCTACTGACATGAATTTGCATGTAGTGTATTGTGTTTGTGTGATGGAGAGGAGGAAAGAAAGGTACTTGTGAAATAATATAGAAAGCATGGAATGAGGACAAAACAAACAGCATATAAATAACTTTTGCAATTTGAGATTTCCTCATTTCGCAATACGACAATACGCTAAGTAAACAATTCTGTTACCAGATACTACCGTGTTCTGCCATTACATCACAGATTAGATGTTTAACTTATTAGAAGGCTTAACAGTGTTACCATCATTTCATGAATGATTAAAAAGCAAATAAAGGGGAAGACTTTTGAGGATTTCATCATGAGCTGACATTAGTTAGAGAACCATTGGAAAACCTGGGGAAGACTGTTTTGACATTAATAAGATTCATTTTTGAAAATCTTCTAGTCAAACGGGAGTCTTATTAGCTTATTTTGACTGTCGGGCATGAAAATATCTAATTATCTACTGTGAGAATGCAAGACATCTAAATTTATTACAGTAGAACCACCTTGCTGATAATTTTTTTTGAATTTAAATTGTTTCATAAATTTACTCGGTTAATGGTGACTGACGGTGGGATCGATGACTCACGTTTCGACTAATTTTTCACCTGTCAGCCGAATGAACTGACATTCTGAGTAAATGATGGTGTTCTATTGAAATTTAAACCTAGTTCACGAGTCTCGAACAGGTAGAGACGTGTATCCTGGACTCCACTGCTAGCAATAGCCAACCAAGCAACATCACGTTTATCTGAAACCATCACTGAAGCGTCTGTACTGGGAACTGATACTTCAACAAACACCCAGCCTTTCAATCCAACATAAATCAATCAGTGGGTGGTTCAAAACATCTTCAACGTATATTATATGCATGAAAATTTACAAAACTGTGCACATTAATGATTGTTTATTCATCAATTAAGACTTGTAAATTTTCTTACAAAATACTAACTGGGAGACATTTATTTCCCGATACGAATTTAAAGCAAGCAACAAAGATTAATAAAGCTTTGTTAACCTTTGTTGTTTGCTAATTGTGCAAGAGTATAATTGATGCGTCTATTAATCAGAAAGATGATATTTATTTTTGCTGCTAAATCTGTACAAAATAATTTGCAAATTTTTAATACTTTTTGTTTCTATTTCATGATATCTACAAAGAACACTTATTCATGAACAATATGAACAAGAATTAAAACGTCTCGGTGTCAAAGAACCAGAGTTATCTGCTCCAACATTTCGTAACATTTCAAGTCAGTTTAGACAAATCAGTGATTATAATTACAATAGTAATGTAAAGGCCATAATCGCGCCACATTTAAATGCCTTAAGAATAAGTACTCATAACTCCTGTGTTAATAACGCCGGTACCAATCTTCAGATTCCTTCAATTTTGTCAGTTGATCAAGGTGTTGATGCCCTCAGCTTAGAGTATTCTTCAAATCCCGATGAAAGTAGTCATCAGGCATCGACTGTCGGCTATGATCCCGGTGAATCGAAACGTTATCGTTCAGTTAGATTTTCGGGATCCAGTTTAAAGGTAGATCAAGATGTAAATGTACCAGTTTTACTTGAAAGAAAAGTTGATTCAAAACGTCTACCGATGCCAATACGAGCACGTTCTAGTTCTCCAAGTAGTAGTAGTAGCCTGTACAGTTCAACAAATGGGTCATCAATTAAACAAGAATCCAAGAGAATAAGAAGTCAATTTAGGTCCAGTATTCTTACTCGAATTCGTGGTCAAAAACCAGGTGTAAGTTAAAATTCCTTCATTATCAGTTTATCCGCTAATTGATCTCAGTTATTAGTCATTTCTTACTTAAATATCATAATATCAGTTTAACATACGCAATTGGCCACTTAGAGAATTGTTTTATGTATACTAAATATACGGGAAATATTTTCCATAAAAACCCATTAGTTTCATTGTAAACTTCGTTAAGGACTGAAATCAGGTGGAGAATGATTGAAAATCAATGTATCCTGAGCAGCTGTTTTGTTCAGGTGTAGAACTCTTTATCTGCGCGCTCCTTTGACCCCACTAGGAGTTAAACTCAGGATTTTCAGGTTACGAAACAGTCCCATTGGAATCCAATTAACCGCGAATTCTAATTTTTGTCAATCTGTGATTTTGCGGTACTGCTAACTAATGCTAGCAATAAGCATCAGCTGCACCCTGATACATTGAACTCTGGTCCCCACTTCTCATAACCTGAAGGTCCTGAGTGCACACTCATGAATATTCCGATACGGCGAGTTTCCGCTGATTGCCGGTTTGTGAAGAAACCTGCATCGAAATTAACCATTGAAATAATCAACCCTTGGTGATTTAATAATATTAGCACAGAAGGTCATTAATAAAAACCCCAAAAGGATCAAAACTGACTTCATAATTTAAAAGTACATTGTGCTGACGAAAGGTAACGTATACAAAACTTATTCATCACCAGTTCCTGACACTCATACTATCAGTATCAGTAATAAAATATGTATATATGAATTGAAATATTTGTCTGTCAGCATAATAGTCCACAAAGTGGATTTATAATTTAAAGCTACAACTTGACACAAGACTTTATAATTTCGAGTGGCTATACTAAAAAATCTGTACTAATGTGGAATTAATTAATTAGGTTGAAGGATACTTATTTAATACTGAAAGAGAACGAGAAAGTGATCGAAAACTTAAATATGAAAAGTGGATACATTTTGTCTACTGTATTGTTCAGGATTTTGGAGCTAGTTATCGTTCATTACCATCAACTCAGCATACAACAGAAAGTAAAAGCAAATTAGAATTATATCAGAGAGTGTACTGTCGCATAGTTACAAGACGGAATAATAGTCAGTTAACTCCATCATAGATAAGATTTTGTTTTGATAAATCGCACAGTGTTATGCAGTAATATTTACTGATAACCACCCTTCGAGCACAGATTATTGCTCATAACCATATCAAGTCAGTTTTGATTATCATTTAATGTATGGTCAATAAGAACATGAGATGAAATAAAATGAAATAATTCAATGTTTGAATATATATATATATATATATATATATATATATATTTCAAACATTGAATTTATATAATCGGGGGGTGATTTACTTAAATCCAGTTGTAACCCAAATTTTCATAGCTTCACCCTCACTCATCATCAAGCAAAGCATGGAATGGCAATCAAACCTCTACCTCAACTTTATAGACTTCGAGAAGGCCTTCGACAGCGTTGACCGTGAAGTAATTTGGAAACTACTTGAGTACTACGGCGTACCCCAAATATTCATCAACCTTATTCAACAGCTGTACGACAACGGCACATGTCAAGTGATCCACAACGGAAAACTCAGCGAGGCGTTTGGAGTAAATACAGGAGTCAGACAAGAGTGCTTATTATCACCAATGATATTCCTAATTGTGGTGGACTGACTGGATTATGCGTCAGACAGTGTGAAACGAGAAGACAGGAATATCCTGGACCGACGTGAAGAACCTAGAAGACCTGGATTTCACGCGTGGATGATTTATGTTTGATGTCACACAAAATCGAAGACTCACAAGCGAAAACCGACAAACTGGTCGAAGAAGCAGCAAAGACGGGACTCTAAGTGAACATCGACAAGACGGAGATTATGAAAATAACCAACCAACAACAGCAACATCCAGCGCCAATCACCATCAACGGGAGGGATTTGAAAGAGGTTAGTTCATTCACTCACTTATCTAGGGAGCATTGTCTCAACTACAGGAGGAACGAACGAGGATGTCAAGTCGAGAATCGGGAAGGCCAGTAACACATTCATCAACCTGAAGCCAATCTGGAAATCTTTGTCACTCAGCATCAACAACAAAATTCCGTCGGATTTTCAATACAAACAACAAGTCAGTTCTTGTGTACGGATCAGAAACTTGGCGGGTCACAAAGAATGTTTCCAACAGCCTGTTGCAGACATTTATTAACAACTGTCTTCGCTGGCTCTATACTGAAGATCAGATGGCCGGAAAGAATCACCAACAAGGAACTATGGGAACAAACAAAGCAAGAACCAATCGCCAGCCAACAAATATGCAGGAGAAAGTGGAGATGGATTGGACACTTGCTGAGGAGGCCGGTTGGCGACATCGCGCGTCAGGCCATTGCTCGAGTGGAACCAGGCCGAAAGGGAGCGGCGAGTGGGACGTCCAAGGGTAACATGGAGGAGATCGTGTGAATAGGAGTTGAAACAGTATGGACTTAGATGGATGCAGGTAAAAAGTACAGCAGAAGACAGAAGCAAGTGGAGACGTGCATTTGAAGCCCTATGTTCCACTAGGAACCCAAGGGAACAATAATAAGTAATAATAATCACCCTCACCCATAACCCATTAAATAAATAAATAAGTTATTGCTTCAAAGTAGACACCTCAGTATTTCCAAATAAAAAGTATACAAAAGGCTTACCTCCCTTAGTAATTATTACAAATCGATTGTAATAAATATCATGTATACCTCTGGGATGCGGGCTACTGATATGCATGAGTACAAGAAGTGCATTTTGACTCCTTTTATCCATTTTATGAAGTTCAACTCTCTAAAACAATTAAAACTGAAAAACTTATCATTCGTTAACTTTTGAACACGTATCGATATCAGTTAGGGAAGCATTGAAAGCCACGGGGTACAGGACATCTGTTCCATCCTTACCCGGTACTCTTCATCAGCATACATCCATGACCCCACTGAGGGTCGAACCCAGGAACTTCAAGTTTCGAGGTGAGCTGGTTGACGATCCATTCATGGGGACGGAATTCAATGGCTCATGAATTCTAAATTCTGTCATTTCGCAATCTTTTTCCGTCACCACCAACCAATGTGGTTTGTGAGTATTTGTCTTCACATTCGTCCCGGTGTTATTTTTATTATCATATCATACTAATAAAACAAGAATTAACTATTCAATTTTGCACCTAAACTTGATTGCCTTAGTTACCTTGACACTTAATGTTGCGGCAAAATCATTCAATATTACACCTTAAATGTGATCAGTTCAACAATTTCCATCGTATTAAACCTTATCCTTATACAGCTGAATTTGTTTTTATGATTTTTTATCAAAACAATTACAGGTTTCTGTCAATATTCAAGAAATACCGACTGAACGTTTTATCCTACCGGATAATTCTCATTCAGCTTCACCTCCGCATGGTTCGCCTAAAACACTTGACAATATGACGGTGACTGTTAAGCCAAGAAGTCATAACTTATTCTCTTATTAGTAAGTTGTGTAATATCTGTCTGTTTTCGACATAGAACTTTGCACAAATGTGCGGAAGTTCAAGTCGCCACATTCCGTGTAGCACGCGAAGCAAGAGAAGAAAGTACAAGAAAAGCATAATAGAAACAGTGAGCAGAGGTGTGAGACAAAGGAGTAATAAAGAAATACAAAACAGTTTCATTGAAGATCATGAGTCACAGGGAGTGGATGCATCTGCGCCACTGAGAACGATTTTGAGCCATGTCACCAATTGTTTCCAACCATAGATTTTTACCGTCCCGAGGACCCCAGCCTGGAAGTCTACACCTTTCTACGTGGCTTAGACCAACTGTTGTGGATTTCATTGACTGATGCCAAGTTTTTGTTTGACCGCCGCTAGCTTTTTTCCAGCCTGACCCTATATCCGCTAACATAGCTCGTCGAGGGAGGCGATGACTTGGCATACGTAACACATGTCCTAACCATCTCAGTCGATGTAGCTTCACGACTTCGTCGATTGAGTTGTGTAATATACTAAATATTTATAAGATTTCAGTTTGTTTCTACTTTTAAAGAGTGAATTCTTTTTAATTGAGAGATTTTTTGAGGCATGTGTTTTTAAACGTCCTGCAGTAGTTTAGTTAATAATCATCCGTAAGTACTCTTGAAGTAAGTCGTCTCAGTTTTGAATTATTACAATGAGCCTTGTTCAGGCTTCGAAATAGGCTATTAAATAAATACCAATATATAAATTAAGTAATATATTCATATTTCCTTTTACCATCAATAAATTGTTGTTCAACTGTTTTTAATAAATTAAAAGTCCCCATAGTGTGTAATAAGAACAAGATGATTTTGAACGAAGGATTGTTTTCGATAACATCTTCATCAGGCTCTACACTTATAAATCCATGAATGTTATAATACAAATGGCCACTAAAGGCATGCGAGAATTATGTCAGAAATTGTATCGAGGTACATGTATAAGATGGAATGATAATCTTTTAATTACCATTGCCTACTGAATGTTCATAAATATATATAGCCATTCAGAACCTAAGATAAAGTGTGAATCGACAAATGAATGACATGTTAATGTATTTATAGTCAACAGGATATAAGTTTTATTGGGGGTAGTGAGTTATGTTCACTGGTGTGAGAGTGATTGCAGGTTTAATAACGAGTTGACATCAGCTAGAGGACTAGTGGAAAACCTGAGAGTACTGGGCAGCTGTTTCTTCCTAGTTCGGGACTCCTCATCAGCACGTTCCGACTGGTAGAAGAACGGTTATTCGCCTATGACATCAACTAGCGGTTGCGCTATATTTGTATCATGAATTGGTAGGAGTTGGGATTCATGGGCTATTGGATCTGGATTCAATGGTTGAATAGTTCACGAACCTTGCCTTGTAACCAGAAGATCTTGGGTTCGAACCCCACTTGGTGCGTACTGATGAAGAGTCCCAAACTAGGCTGACGAAACAGTTGTCCAGTACTTCGAGCTTTCCCAATGGTTTTCTAACTGATGTCAACTTGTGATCAAACTTGTAACCAATCAAATCTCTGCAAACCAACGCTGATACTTAAATATGATTACCAGAAAGCACATACAAACAAATAGCCAGAAATGGGGAACGCTGAGTGTAATTTCAAGGGCTGACAGATATCAAGTGTCATGATAAAATATAGAAATTAAATTATGAACTGTAATGTTGTACTAGAGACATGAAAAGCTTGGCGTAAATTACAAAGCTTGACCCACAATAAGGATAATAATGGAGTGAAGTAAACTAGGTGAAAAGGAATAACTTTTTCTTTGACTAAGAGTCCACATTCGCTGACATGTTTTTAAAATTCTGCCATGTATTATTTACTACCGTGAAAACATCTAATTTGTCATCCCTGCCCATTTCTAAAGGTCAACGCTTCCTTTAGAATCTTAGTTACTACATGCCAGCTAGATTTACCTGTATCTCAAAAAGTGATGAACTTCTTACTAAAACATGGACCCAGTATTCGTCATTTCAGTCACCGTAATGTAGTCCACTAAGGACGAAAATTCCACCTCGTGTGCAACGATTCTCAGTTGTAACTCACTAAAAGTTTGAAATTTCTGTTTGTTTTTACTGGGCTGAAATGATTGAATGTTGCTCCTAGTATGGAAGATTCAGCCAGCGGTGTGTTTTTTTTAATTCGAACTCTGTTGTTATCTGATAGACAGTCTTCAATCGTGGTAGAAACAAACAAAAAGAAAAGTGGATTTTCAATAAGTACCAGTGGATATCGGTTACACATAAGGCAGATCCTGTAACTAAGTAGCTTAGTGAATAACTATTCAGTGTTTGTAACAAGGGGCATGAGTGTAAAGTCTCAGTAGTAACATCGTCGGTCGATGGAGTACTGACTGTATTCCACACTAGTTCACTAGTTCAGCTAATCAATAGTACTGGTCTTTCATTTTCAGTTAAGATTAGTTTGGATGATGTCCGTCTTTGTTTCTCTGTGTTTGACTGCTTTTACTACCATAAGATAATCGGTGTTTTCTCGGCGAGATGTTATTTCTTGACAAATATCTACTTTTTCCTAACTGCATTGAAATTTTTTCCAAAAATACATATTGCTTTTAAGAATTGTTGCTTGTTTAATATCACTTTTAATTTCGTTCTATTCCATTGCATTCCAGGCGGAACATAAGGCTTCAAGCTTTAATATTTGAAGTTCGGGTATTGCTGATGCTTTTATGCGGTGAGGTTGCTAGCCTCACGCTCAACCCTCTTTCTCTATGGCATTACCACCGGCTAAGCAAAGTTTAGGAAGTGCGTTGGCCAGTTTACAAATGTCATGGCAATTTAAATCCCAACAAAAGATTTAAATTCATAGAAGTAGTAGCGACCAATATACATTTAACCAACTTGTCTTTATAACTCACCCATGAATTAGAAATTTTACTTTTACGTCTCATACATCCATGTCTTGACTATTATTGTATTTCCTCAAGAGACTAAGAACATTTGTACAAGTATTTTCCAACATTATGCAGTGTTGGACCGAAAATAGTATGAATTTTTATGAGTAAAAAAGGTTTGCATAAATTTTCAATATTTTGAAGCTCTGTGTCATCTCATTGAGGTCTCCAACGATCGACCAAACATATCTTGCATACGTTTAATTTTCTTGAATCACGTCTCATCACTGTATAAGCATATACCTGTACTTGGTAGTTCTAAGTGCTGAATTAAAACTTACTTCGAGGATTATAGCAATATAATGAATTCAGTTCAGCCTAATGATACAATATTAGGGTTAAAATAATTTCTTTCGACTGTCATAAAACATAAAAAATTGCAAGGGACCACTGATTACTAGTTTTCTTTTTTTCTAAAATTACTTATTGTTCAGTGTGCCCACAATGTCTACAAATGATGTAGAAGGTATTATTCGACATGTTGATAGTCTTATGAATCCTCAGGCTGCTGCGAACACAACAGTATCAACGCAAATAACAACGACAACTACAGTAACAACTGCAACCACATCAGACCCAAAAACAAATAACACTATTGATCGTGATCAGGTCATCACTGATAATCAAAATGATGAGAAAAGTCTTTGTCTGAGCACTATTCAACTTGAATCAGGTGGGCACTTTATCCATATTTGTTGTTCTAAGTTTGTCACCCCTTTCATTTTTTATTCTCTTTGTCTGTAGAAAACTTGCAAAAAGCACAAACAACAATTAATTCCATTGTGGGTAGAATTTATTTAGATAAAATCACACAGTGTTATACAGTAATATTTACTGATGCCCACCTTTCGAGCACAAATTATTACTGCTCATAATCATATCAAGTCACTCACATAACTTTCTTTTTTCATTTATATACATGAGTAAAATTGATTAGACATTTGAATAAAACCAAGTCAAGATTAAGTACATTTGGAAATAATATTAGTGTCATCAATAAAATACAATCAGATGGCAAATAAGATGTTTTTATAGTAAAATAAATAACTTGTTAGAGTGTCATAATGTGAATTGAATACATTTTAGCATTACTCATTATCCTCTGATTTGATCGGTAATATCTTCCATATCTCTTGTATTTGCGTTGAGTCACTTCTATTGCATGTGTTGTGTTGAGCGTAGACTCGATGAACCAGGATTCAGTAATCAATCTCTTTCTCCACCTATCTATATTACTTTTTAGAACTTTGACTCTGTCCCACCCTATTGTGTGGTTGTGTGTGAATGCATGCAGTACGGTTGCTGAGTTTTTCTTCTAAATTACTTATCTTCTTGGGGTCAATCAATCTAACCTTAGCTAAGTTCTTATGTTCCGACAATTTGGCTACCCCTGATCTACTAGTTTGACTTATATAGATGACTTAACTCACAGTCATTGCAATGACCCCATGAAAATAAGTAATTTAGAAAAAAGCTCAGCAATTGCACTGCATGCATTAACACAGAACCCCACAATAGGATGGAAGAGGGTTAAAATTCTGAGAAGTAATATAGGTAGGTGGAGAGGGAGGTTGATTACTGAATCCTGGTTCATCGAGTTTACACCCAACACGTGAAATAGGAATGACTAATCACTCATACCGGATATATGAAAAATGCTAGTACCAATCAAGTCAAGCGATGAAAAATAATGGACTTATATGAATGAAGTTACAAAGTTGTGTTAGTAACCTGATGTGATTATGAGCGGTAATAAATTGTGCTCGAAACGTTTTAATATTAACCATACTGCATCAATTATGCTTTAGTCAAGTGTTCAGATGTATATGGAAGACTGCAGTTTAATGTCAGTGAAAGCCGTTATCATTCTGACATATTTCTGAGATGGCTATGTGTTAACGACGACTAAGCGTAATTGAGTTACCCCAGGTAACATTTTGCACTATCATCGAAATGGGAGTAAAGTGCTTTTGGCCGTTTTCATAAGAACAAAGGATTTATGCATTTGTTTCTAGTGGTATGTGATTTATGTACGTATTTTCATGGAATGACTTGTAGATTGAAACTTCAATCTGATAAATCAATCACTTTTTTGTATCTTAAAGTATTAACTTGGTTTCATACTCACTATTACTACTCATTACCTACCTGGTACTTGGCTTCAATTTAGCCGATGAGTAGTTTATGCATTTATAACTCAGACCTGCTTAAAATCGGAAACTGAATTCATATTGTTCTTGTACATTTGTTAGTGGCGCAACATTGTGTTTAGCTGTTTAATCAATAATAATAGTTAAGTTGATCCGAAGGCATTCACAACAGTAAGCTTATTTCTGTATTAAATAAACAAGAGGAATTTGTTTAGCATATCTTTAGCACGTGACTGGCTATTGTTACAACAAAAAATACCGTGAACGCCCTGCTTTTAAGTCTTATAAAAAAAGTGTAATTATAACTGCAGTTTGATTCCCCCTATCTAATATCTTTTCGAAAGCATAGAACCAAGTTAGCAATGCGTATGTGCGTGTGTGTAAACGAAAATATTTACATGTGCATGTCATCGTTGTAGAATCTGTTTTTAACAAAAAAGGTTATTTTGTTTCAAGCGCGGAAAAAATCCTATCTTAAATATCCTCGTCTATTTTCGAGTTATTTCCAATCTATACTATTCAAGTCATATGGTAATGACAAAACATTCCATATTACTATTAATACTGTTATATTATAATACGTAATATGATTGCGTGTATATATATATATATATATATATATATATATATATATATATATATCACTGCACTTCAATTTCTTACGATGTCATATTTTAGATTTGTTTAGTCAGATGAATATTTCCAAATTAATTAGGTTGATAAAAACAGTTAAATGTGCTTGGCGGTAAAAAAAAAACATTTTGCAAAAATTTATAAATTAAAGGCATTACTGAATAAATAATATATGACGTTTCTACACAGTACTAATATATGCATGTGTAACTGACAACAAGGAGATAGCTTTCGGGAGATTAATATTCACTTTTGAGATTTAAACCCGCATTACGTACTCTTGAAGTAAAGTAATGAATTAAGACAATACAAGGTGCGAACTGCTGACCAGTACATACATTCTTCCATCAATAGCCGGATATGATATTTAGTCCATAGATGGCATAAGTTTACAAAACCCACACGAGTCCTGCGTATACTAGCTGAGATGCTGTCAGCAATCAGTCTGTTAGGGTTGATGCAACTTCCTAAATAAGTGAATACGCTCAGCCACTTCACTACGTATGTTTAAACTGAGAGTTGGTGCAGGCACTATCATCGTATATATGACAGGAGCGAATTGCACACCAAAGGATCGAAAATTTCTGCTCCAGAAATGTTTCAGGGACTTATCAAACAATTGAATTCATGAGAAAGCAACGCTAGCTGTGGTGGGATGAATAGTACGGTTTAATATTATTCACAGTAGAGCTGATATATTCACGTCTACGATTTTGAACACCACCTTACTTTCATCCAATCATTTTATATGCCTCCATGTTCCTCTTCATTTATTTAATTACTTGTTCTAATGTTTACTTGCTTCTATTGTATCTTATTTCAAAACTTGATACCTTGAACCGACAGATTTATGTTTGATATTCTACATTCTTCCATCTGTTTGTCTATCATTCATTCTATAAAGTGAAATGAGTGGTTTATTGTATTCACACTGACTCAGTGGAAGTTCTCCTTTATGAGTCATTCCTCATTGTAAAAGAGAAATTGACCATCACACCGAATATTTAACGATTGTTCAACTTGATAAGTGCATAGGTTATAAAATCACCGTGTATTCATGTCTAAATCAAGTTCAGATTTCGGTATTGGATATATAATGTTCATTAATATTAGAAATTTTTTTGTTTCCTAATGAATGAAAAAACAAAACGATATTGTTTCTTTTTTCTAATCGTTTGCCTACTTTGTGCTATTAGCTTTATCAATGTAATAGTAAACCAGAGAATTACCGAATTTCAGTTTTAAGATAGCAAGTCAATCAAATTTCTACTGTATGAAGTAATTTTCAGTTGTCAAGTGAATGTTTTCATACATACAATAAATATGTTCAGACTGTTATTATTATTATTGTATCCTTTAGTTCCTAGAGGAACATAGGGCTTCAGCTGCGCACCTCCATTGCCTTCGGTTTTCTGACAACTTTTTCACCCTGCTCCAGGTCTGTCCGCATGCTTTCATCTCCTCCTCGCATGACCTCCTCCAAGTCACCCTTGGACGACCAACTCGCCGCCTCCCTTTCGGGTTCCACTCGAGGGCTTGTCTAGTGATGTCACTTGATGGTTTCCTCAGCGTATGGCCAATCCATCTCCATTTCTTCCTGCCTATTTGTTTCACAATCGGTTCCTGATTGGTTCGCTCCCAAAGATCCCTTGAGTATTGAGCGAAGACAGCTGTTAATGAAGGTCTGAAGTTTGTTTGAGATGCTCTTTATGACTCGTCAAGTCTCTGATCCGTATAGTAGCACTGACTGACTTCACAATGGAGTTGAAAATCCGGATCTTATTTTTGATGCTGAGTGCTGTTGACCTCCACACAGATTTGAGAGTAATGAAAGATTGTCTTGCTTTGCCGATTCTGGCTTTGATATCCTCGTCAGTTCCGCCTGTAGTTGGAACGATGCTTCCCAGGTAGGTAAAGGAGGTTGTTTCTTTCATGTTCCTACCATTTATACTGGCCGATTGTTGTCTGTTGTTGCTGTTGATGTTGGCTAGGAATCTTCATCACCTCTGTTTTATCTATGTTCACTTGAAGTCCTATCTTGGATGCTTCTTCTGCCAACTTGTTACTTTTCACTTGCATATCTTCCAGTTTGTGGGAAATCAGACATATATCATCGGCGAAATCCAGATCCTCCAAGTCTTTTGTGTCAGTCCATTTTATGCCTGTTCCCTCGTTGGTTGCCGTTGTCTGTCGCATTATCCAATCAATTGCAATCAGGAAGATCATTGGTGATAGTAGACAGCCTTGCCTCACTCCCGTCCTCACTTCGAAGGATTCCGTAAGTTTCCCATTGTGGATTACTTGGCATGCAGCATTGTCGTACAACTGTTGGATGAGATGTATAATTGTCGATGGGACCCCGTAGTAGCAAAGTAGTTGTCAAATCACCTCTCGATCGACGCTGTCCGCTGAAGTCCTTTTCAAAGTCGATGAAGTTGAGATAGAGAGGTGACTGCCATTCCAAGCTTTGTTCAATGATGATCCGTAGAGTGGCGATTTGATCAATACATTATTTGTTTCTCCTGAATCCGGCCTGTTCCGGTCGAAGTTTTTCATCTAGGGCTTGTTTGATTCTCTCCAGGATGATGCGACTTAGTATCTTGCTTGGAATGGACAGAAGCATAATTCCACGCCAGTTTTTACATTGACTTAAGTCTCCTTTCTTTGGTAGTTTGAATAAGTATCCGTTCTTCCAATCCTGGGGTACTTTGCCCTCTTTCCACACCTTCTCCAGCAGTGGCGTCATCAGGTCCACTGTTGTCTCTGGGTCTATTTTCAAAGCTTCTGCTGGGATTCCATCTGGTCCTGGTGCTTTCCCAGCATTTAGCTTTTCAGACTGTTAGATTTGATAAATGTATATTAGCTATATAAACAGCATATATTTATGTAATGTAAAATGCAAATCAAAATTGTGTGTTGACCTTATTAGTTTGTGAACCCTTCAGTAATATGTCTACTACATAAATGAAATAGCTTTGTTGCGTTTGATGTTCTGAAGGACACATCTGTCGGAGGATGATGAATTTTGAAGAATTTTCTTTCCATCATCAAGATTATCTTTGATAGAAAATAAGTTAAAGTACTGTGATGAATCTTAATTAAGCATTGAATTATTGTACCTTTAACTAATTTACTAACACTATTCTGCAGCCAGTGGAATAATTTGCATTGATCCATCTAGGGAGAACACACTTAGTAAGATTGCCAGAAACAGATGAAAAAAAATTAATCCTTCAGATTACCATAGAAAATTGAATAGTCAGGAATTCCAACCTCGTGGATAACAGAAAGAAGTTTTCCTTCAGGTTTTAGTAGATCTTTTTTTACAGAATAACAAAAACGAAATTAATTTTAAAGTATCTTTGCCTCTAGCTGTAATTTTATTTTCACGAGTTGATCACGGATTGATATCAGTCAGAGAACTATTGGAAAACCAACAAGAAGTACTGGACAGCTGTTTCGTCAGCCCTGTTTAGGACTCTTCATCTGTACGCACCCACCGGAGATTGAACCTAGGACCTTCTGGTTACAAAGGGAGCTCGTAGACCATTAAGCCACTGAGATCTGATTCAATGGCCCATGGATTCTATCTTCTTTCAGTTCGTGATTTAGCGCGACCACGTTTCATCTATAGGATCTTACTGAATAGCCTTATGCGTAAAACAGAAATTTTTAATTTAATCATTGTTGTAAACCCAGCCAAAGACACTGGTAAAGAACAGAAAAAAGTTCTCTCCCTCCAACTGATATCATTAAAATAAAAATTCATTTTTTGCATTATTTCACATGTTCACCTATAAATAATATTTTGTCTTGATTTCTCTTTCCTACATACTCAGGTTTACTGGATTCTCTAACAAGCAGTGAAATTATAGAGACTTCATCGGAATATAATTCACGCGAAAGGTTACATTCCACTCGAGAATATTATCAGCTAACTTCAGAAGAAGATTTAGAAAGTGACAATTCTTCCAAACAGTTTGATAATGATTATCATGAGAAAAAAGTTAGAGTTGACGATAATGTCGATAGTGAAATTAAGAAATCAGAAAATGTTGAACAAAACACCTTAGATTCAGTAATGAAAAATATAGAGACTAATCATACTGCTGTGATGCTCGACAGGGAACAGCGTTCTATTAAAGAGAATATTTAAAGGAAAAAATAGTTTCCTTTCGTCGCTTGTTAGGGCGATAAAAGCACCGGCTCATTGTGTTCATAATTATTATTGCTGTTTGTTTTCATTGTCTTCTGTTTTCTTTCCTGTTGTTATTTTTTACACTTCTGTGATTCCCTCAAACAATGAAAACTAATCATCTAGTTTTATATAAGTGTTTATCTCAACGTACCAGTGTGCGTGCGCGTGCTTGTGGTGTACACGTGTTCGTCCGTGTACACACACACATATACAAAGTTTCACTCTTTATTTTTGCTAAGTTTCTTTAAATTCTTTGTCACCACCAGCTCCCTTCTATTCCATTACATAAATATTATTACTTGCATTACAAATTATTTATTTATTTCATGATTTACTAACTTTCCCATTATCACAAGAATAAAGAGATTATCAATTTTCTTCTTGTTATTTTTTCCCTCCAAAATGAAGTTACAACATTTTAAACATCATTTTTGTAAAATCTCAGCAAAATTGGATTGAGTAATTCCAACGTTTCATTCGGCAAACTGGTCCAACCTTCTTCAGGGAAGTTAGTCGAAACTAAAATAACAAAGGTTTATATACAGAAAGGACATCTTTTGTTTTGTAAGAACTTTGTACAATCATATGAGTCATGAAACAGCCATCAAAATATAATCAACAAAATTGTATGAGCTGTGATCAAAATTTGACCTTAGACTTACAAATATTGGTCTAGTTTTGTTAAACGCTTTAAATAGAGTGTACTTTTCATCAGAACTTTAGTGATTACGTTCGACTAAAAGTTCGTGTTTGTAGATACCTTGAACTGTTCGGTCAAATCTTAATCAGAGTTCATATTAACTTTAAATATCAGTTTAACAAAACGGACAGATATCAGTTTTGAGTGGGTCCAGTGTAGTAATAGTAGCCAATTTGTAATTATAAAAATAGCCGTAATATATGAAGGTAGTATTCTGCCAACCAACTTTGAAGGTATCAATAAATGGTCATAAGTAGACGTAAAAATAAGCGTGTGTAGTCTCAAGGTGACTAAACTCTCCAGTTTCCTGAAGCTGATTGAATAGACAGATAGTAGTGATTCATTGAGTCAGTAGATGGTTTACACTCAACATATGTATGCATGGTCACTATTCTTGCTTATTCAAGCAGAAAAAGAACTGTTATCTGAAGGGAAGTATATATTTCACTATTTATACTTATGGGAATGAGTGCGAAATCTTTTACCGAATCATGATTGCTCTTAAAAACCAAACTGAATACGTGATTAGTTCATTTAATTCCTAGTATACTGTGCAGATAGGTAGCTTACAGACAATAATTCAACAAATTGAAAGTGAGTTGAATCCATCTCATTATAATTATTTGTATAATTCATCATGTACCAAGCTTCACATCAAGTGATGTAACGTTTTATATTTGCCTACTAACCTTATGAATTATTCTATATATGACACTTGATATTTAACTATGATTATAATGACACATATAACAATTTCTTAACATAACAATTTCGCTTTATTCCAGAAACAGTACTTGTGGTACAGTGTGGAATTTTCAGCATTTCCTACTATTATTATTTTATGTATTCACACCTTTGTTTAAATATCCTAAATTCATGTGTATTCACCCGTGAATTGCAATTCAAAAGAGAACGAAAATTTCATTTACAAGACAAGGGAGATTTTCAATCTACAAAATCGTTTAACTGTATCGGACTCATCGGTGTGTTATTTGCAAATATATTATACTAGGGTACTTGTGTCCAAGTATTAGCTTAATCATAATTTTATTTATTTAACTAGTCCGACTACAATCGGGGTATCGTCGCCTAGATATGAAAACACAGTAATATGCTTTGCTTAACAAAAATAAAATTCCTCAGTACTAAATTATGCCAAAAGCTAGTAGTAAATTAAGAACTGAAACAGACGGTCGACAGCTCCATTGTGAGTAAAATTTATTTTAATTAAGTCTCAATGTTATACAGTAATATTTACTGATAACGTTTCGAGCACAATTTATTACCGCTCATAATCACATCAGGTTACTAACACAACTTTGTAACTTCATTCATATAAGTCCATTATTTTTCATCGCTTGACTTGATTGGTACTAGCATTTTTCATATATCCGGTATGAGTGATTAGTCATTCCTATTTCACGTGTTGGGTGTAAACTCGATGAACCAGGATTCAGTAATCAACCTCCCTCTCCACCTACCTATATTACTTCTCAGAATTTTAACCCTCTTCCATCCTATTGTGGGGTTCTGTGTTAATGCATGCAGTGCAATTGCTGAGCTTTTTTCTAAATTACTTATTTTCATGGGGTCATTGCAATGACTGTGAGTTAAGTCATCTATATAAGTCAAACTAGTAGATCAGGGGTAGCCAAATTGTCGGAACATAAGAACTTAGCTAAGGTTAGATTGATTGACCCCAAGAAGATAAGTAATTTAGAAGAAAAACTCAGCAACCGTACTGCATGCATTCACACACAACCACACAATAGGGTGGGACAGAGTCAAAGTTCTAAAAAGTAATATAGATAGGTGGAGAAAGAGATTGATTACTGAATCCTGGTTCATCGAGTCTACGCTCAACACAACACATGCAATAGAAGTGACTCAACGCAAATACAAGAGATATGGAAGATATTACCGATCAAATCAGAGGATAATGAGTAATGCTAAAATGTATTCAATTCACATTATGACACTCTAACAAGTTATTTATTTTACTATAAAAACATCTTATTTGCCATCTGATTGTATTTTATTGATGACACTAATATTATTTCCAAATGTACTTAATCTTGACTTGGTTTTATTCAAATGTCTAATCAATTTTACTCATGTATATAAATGAAAAAAGAAAGTTATGTGAGTGACTTGATATGATTATGAGCAGTAATAATTTGTGCTCGAAAGGTGGGCATCAGTAAATATTACTGTATAACACTGTGTGATTTTATTTAAATAATATTCATCCATATTGGATTTATTCTCTAATACTGTGCCCAAGTTTTGTCCTTAATACAGAAAATCGATAATCTCACTTATTTGATCAACTGAAATCACTTTGGTGCTTATGAAGATTCCTGTGACCAACTAAAAGTTGTAAATATAGTAGTGTTTTTTAACTTAAATTCGTGAATTTGTAAACGAGTGATTTTATTGCATTAACCATTTTGATTTAGCGCCATTGTTATGCGAGTGAAGTGATAAATTAATCCACATATGCTAGCATGAAGTCATGCAAATACAGGTATTTAACTTTGAAACTCATTGCCTAGGTGTGAATATCAATGAACATTTACTGCTATAGACTAGTGGAAACAAGCCAAAATGGAATGGACAGCTGACTTAGTTTCACAGTTTTGTCTCAGTAAGCAGAAAATCAAATCTCATCGCCTTTCTTGTGACGAGAATCCATCGCATGCATACAGAAGATACATTGAGTCAATAATTGGGATCCTTCAAAAACACTAATCAAGAATGAATATTCAGCCTCCTTCATCTATGAACATTTAAAGAGAAGGACTGGTGCACCATTAAACCTTGATATGCCGGATAAACAACTAATTGTAAATCTGGAAATCAAGGGAGACACAATTAGTGCAGTTCTTAGAAGCGGTCTGTCGAGAGTAATGCGAAGAAAGTTTTTTGCTGCATCAGCCTGCCTCATAACGATAACGAAAGAGCCTATTATTTTGCTAACAAAACAGTAATTCATAGGTTTGGCGCTTAACATTGTCTCTATCGCATAGAATACGGGCTGGCCAAATATGTTATCGTTAAGTTCCTATACTTAGTAGTACGAGCATATAATCTTTTGAAAAAACTTTTAGTTCTACCAGATGAGATGAAGGGGTGAGTTGGAAATAGAGGGGGTGTTGAGGGTCAGACAGTTATGGATTTAAACCATTTTTCGCGTGAGTTCAGATGTCTATCAACTTACGCGGTAACAAGCTGACTGGGTTGCACACTACTTGCCCTGCTGACAAACTTGAATACTCTGCTCAAAATGAAACAGTCCTTTTTCAGTAGCTCCGGTAAGATTAAGCGGGATTAGTAAAAAAACGCTAGGTAAGATACAACAGTGAAGAAATTGTAAAAGTAGATGTTCAGTGATTCCAGTTTGTCTTAACTTCCTAATGTAGTAGCTTAGACGGAATATTTTCTTGGAGATTGATAAAATATGGGATGACCAATTAAGGTCAGAGGATAAAACTATACCAAAGTATTTTGTGTTAGACTTAGTTTCTATTACAGTCCCCTCTATGTTACAAGCATCATGTGTACTAACCAATCGTTTTAGATCACGTTTATGCCTAAAGGAGAAGTCAATAATTTGGCATTCTGTAGGATTTAACGTAAGACCCTTTAGCTTAGACCAGTGACTGATATCCGACAGAAAGCTATTATTCCCATTAATCAATTTGAATAAAGCAAGAACGACAAATGTATGAAGATAATCTAAGCTCATCTTTTTTTATTATTTCGTGGATTCTTCTCAACTGGTTACAACCTGAACAATACCAAAATTATAGACTAAATTAAAGATGTGAACATACTTTTCTACAATGATAATGAGTAACTGATTGGAACCTAAGAATAACACTGGTCAGGAATAATGTAAGTTGTTGAATAATTAAGAGTGAAAAGTATCGACTATTTATAGATGAATTGCATGACTCAACTTGGAAACAAAACGACAGAGTTCAACAGATGTTGTGTGGGTATGAACAAAGTTTAACTAGAAAGAGGATGAAAAGTAATAGGTTAACTAACCACAAAAAAACACGTTTTTATAAAAATAGACAAAACAAAGACCAAGGGGCAGGATGAATCATGTTTAGCCGAAAAAATCAAGGCTTCTAAACACGACAGAAAATGACACAGTGGAATGTGTATTCACAGAAAGTACACATCCAGACATGAATATAAGAACAAAAAGTTCAGCGAAGCGCCTCTTTTCGTTGAATTCATTCAATTG